AATTCATCGCAGTTATAGCAAGCAAACGACGACAGTTTTTATTCTGTTCAGCGCAACTATATAACATTTTTGACTGTGTAAATTACAACCCAATTATAATGTCTATCTCTCTGGACGATCTTCCGGTGACTGCAGTTGAGGTTGCCAGACACACACTGCGTGATCCAGTTTTACAGCGAGTATCAAAGTTCATCCGATTTGGCTGGCCTCCACATGTTCATTCAAATGTTTTAAAACAGTTTTACCAGCGACGCCAATCCCTGTCCATCGTTTATGGATGCATAATGTTTGCTGATCGTGTTGTCGTTCCAGCTGATCTTCGTGACCATGTGCTTCGGCAGCTTCATATATCACATCCTGGTGTTGGGAGAATGAAGGCGATCGCTCGCAGTTATGTTTACTGGCCCAACATCGATGACCATATCGAAGACCTCGTTCGCAAGTGTAGTAGATGTGCTCAAGCATCAAAGTGTCCACGCAAGACAGAACTATGTTCCTGGCCACGACCGGACAAACCATGGTCCCGTGTTCATGTTGACTTCGCTGGACCGTTCAATAGTATGCATTTCTTAATATGTGTCGACGCGTTTTCCAAATGGCCAGAGATATTTCCTATGCATTCTGCCACATCAATTGCAACAGTGTCCCACCTACGTCAACTATTACTGAACGTTTCGTCGACACCTTTAAGCGTGCTTATGCAAAAGCGAAGGGGGAGGGAACAACAGAAAAAAATTTTGGATAAATTCTTGCTGCATTATCGTACGAATGAAAAAGGACAGTTATGTGGCAGACACACAGATCACGCTCTATCCAGTACCACGCAAAGGTCAACTCGACAAAGAAGAGCTCCGAAACCTTTTCAAATAGATCCGAAAAGCAAGTCCTACACTCTTTACGGGGAGAGGTGATAGGATCCCACATATTTTGGTATTGACTGTTTAAACTTGCATATATGGTATGTTATCATTCTCACACATTTTGGTAGTGACTGCTAATTTTGTATATATGGTATATTATCATTCTCACACATTTTGGTAGTGACTGCTAATTTTGTATATATGGTATATTATCATTCCCACACATTTTGTTACTGACTGTCAATGTCGCACATATGGCATATTATCATTTCTCACACACTTTGTTATTGGCTATTAAGGTCAATTATTTCAAATGCTGTTAGCTGTCCATATTGTTGTAAAATGTATAAATACCATGGTTTTCTTTATCGTTGTTGCACTTCAATACACAGTCACAGTCCAGCCTTTGTCTTTTGATATTTGCGTGCTTTACTAAATCGGAAGGTACGACAAGCAGATAGGCAGAATAGTTCAGGCGGAGACAGAATAAGGTGAAAACGTCTTCATTCAATTCCCTACAGTTATAACAAATTGGCGACGGGGTTTACCTTAATTCAGTGCAGTTATAACAGAACTGTTCAATCGAGGTTGCAGTCAAACCCCAAAAGTTTTCAGTAGTAGCGAATAGACGTTGTGGCGCCTGTTGTTGGTGTAGCCTAGAAGCTTTTGCAGACTGTAATCAATAGATAGTCAATATCCGATGACCGGTCAAAGCTGATAAGCAAAACACGAAATGTGACAACAAATTACGCCAAAAATATTCACACTAAAAATGTAGTGTTTTGAAGACATATGCAGATATCTGTCTGTGGTTTCGATAACGCATTTTTACAGCGAGTTTACTCAATGAATTTTAAATATGAGGGGAACTCAGCCATAAACCTAACCGGGCATGGGTTCACTAAGTGATCATTTGCCGCTCTGATTAATTAGTGTGCAGACTGCCACTCACAAAATCAGTCAATAATTATTTATTTTAAGTGACCAGTGACAACAGCTTTTGATAAGTCTGACAAGCCTTCTTTGAGTTATTTCAAGTTCACTTGGAGATACATTAATCAACTCAACTATAGTGGAGCACGGACTTGATGATCTTTTTCGAAATTATAATCTTCCTCAATGTACTGATTACTTTAGATCTACGCAGTGGTTTTAGTGAAAAGCACTCATATCTTCATAATTTAGTATGATCTTTGATTTGATAACTCTTAACGCAATACTTGTAGGTGATACAATTATTCTAATGTAAGTGAAATGGAGAACCTCATACAAATTTCTTTAATTGATGACGATTAGTATTTTTTGCTGATCAGTTGTCTGAAAAATAACACATTCCAATACTGACTGAAAGACCATCGTTGATAGGACGCATTGTTTCCACTGATGTGTGCTGCTGTAGTTTGTTCCACACCCAATACTTTTATCGCAATCGAGCGATTTTCAGTCATATCCTCTTGTTTACGGTGTGTTTCAGTCATCTCCGAATCATGTTTGTGATGAAAAGCAAGATTTGAAGTTGTTTCTAGCATTGGCAAAATCAAAGCGTTATTGTATTGAGATCTGAAGTAGTCTTTCTTACAATCGTGGGGTAGTTTGTACTTATTAAAGACTATATTAGGAATTGGTGTGGGAATATCGTTTGAAGTATCTGACCCGTTTTCATTTCTTTCGGGAGATTTCCAGGAATTTCTGCCGTATATTCATCTTTCAGTATATTTGTAGTATTCAAAACCCCCGCAACTGTAAGAGAGTCCATTTGGTTTTCTCCAGTAGGTCTTTATACGCCAGTAGTGTTATGAATGCTACAGTGTGTTACCCTCTTCCTACCTTCTGAACTAGATGCGTTGTTCCGCTATTTTAATCCCTTGAGATTTAATTGGCTGTGTAATCGTTATCATAATAATGGAACAGGTGTGAACACTTACATTTGGCTACATCAACTTCAATTTCAAACTAAGAGAGTGATAATTGTGCGGCGAAGAGTCAACGCCAAATCTTCTCTCACGAGCTGGATGTTGGCTTCATAGTTACTTCGTTGAACAAGTGAGTTAGTCTTAAATATTTTTTTCATGGACAACTTTGTCAAACAAAACTGCTATATGGCCACTTCTGCTTTTCTGTATTTTTTGATATTATATTCTGCCTAATAACATGATTTCTCATGCAAAATTGACCTGTTTGAACTTAAAACATATGTCGTTCTTGATTATTTCATAAAGTACAGCCATCATATTAACAACCAATTCTGTTAGCAAGATTCTCACTGATGCTTACTGGCTGTTTATCAAAGTCACTAAAAATTATTTCATGGCCATATCTCATGTTACAGACCATCAGGACTCTGTCCATCGTTTGTTGTTAATGTTTCCACTGAATGATGCATACTGGTAAACACCTCAAGAGTTTGCTTGTGTTTGCAGTCAAATAATATAAGACTTGTTTGGAAAGTTTGATCAGTTAACAAGTTATCGGCAAACCATCCATTCAGAATCGCCGCATAGAAGCTTCTGGTTATTCAGTTGCTAATTATAATCATCCGTTCACCTTCATATAGCATAATCGTAACTTCTTTAGTATGAAATGAATGTTTGACTATCATGATTTCTGTCATGAATATTACCTGAATTCAAACACGGTGCTAATTTACTGGCTACGCAGTTGTGAGAACTTAGCGGCAGCTACGACTGGTAACATATTTCTTTGAAATTCTGGCTGTTTGCGCTAATTGTTGTGCTAGAAAATTTATGAAAATAATGAACCTTTAAGTGTTTTGAAGTCAATGTTGAAATAACTTCTTTTGAGCAAAGTTCACTAGTGTTTACTAAGTCACCGGCTTATCAGCAATACTAAGGGTTAAATTAGAAACAACTGTATGTATATTTTGCAAACAGTGGTTGAAAAAGTGTGAGACATTGTGGTATTTATATTCAAAGGAGTTGAAGACAAAATACATCAATAGACCCTAGTATTAAAATAATAATAATAATAAAATAATACTTCGATTTTTTATAGAATGTTTCACAGCAGACTTAGTGTATGACATGTATGATGAGTTGAAACTCACAAGAATAACGTTTTGTTTAATTGCTTTTTCTCCTGGAACACTGAAGTCGCTTCACGTAGATTATGATCATCTAAAGTTCATAGAAATTCAATTTACTTCATTTGAGACTTTCTTGTTTTCTATGTTAACTTTCATAAGCCAGGCATACGCTTTTCACTTAATGAGTTCACATTTTTTGAGAAAAGTCAGTCAAATCTAAGTTTGCTGAAAGTAGTTCTCTAAATAAAACATCAGTATGCTGGTGACCTGCAGCATACTGACTGCTTGAAATTGCATGACGAGACCACTTAAACAGGTGTATAACACGTAGTTAAGTTCACATATTCTTGTAGTTTTTTGCTGCATAAATGTTTGTAGACTTTGGCAAATATTTTGGTCCGATCATTCACAACCTCTTCCGAGGAGTTCAATTACTGATATCTAATAAATACGTCTAAAGTAAAGTCAAATAGGACTTTTCTAATAAATTAAACCAAAACTTAAGCTATTTAGTTCCTCAGTACATCTATGGATGATAAAGATTTATAGGTTGCAAAGGTTTCTTCATTTTCTATCAATATAGTGTCTGTTTACTTTTCTCGTGCGGAAAGTTGTTCATTCCCAACGGAGCACAAGGTTTGAGGTATTGTTGACTCAAACTAGGAACTCACAGGTGATACATATTAAGGCCGTTATGCCAATAATAGCCAGGTTAAGGCTTTACGTGGTGAATTTCGACCCCATCCTATATACAGAGATTGTATTGTAATCTAAATTGGAATGAACACTATTTGGGGAATACGTCTCCTTTTTGATGTGACACATGACGACCACTTATTGTTTTCTTTTGTACCATTCAAAATCACAAAATGTTGATTCTAAATCCCTTGTCATCTCCTGCACCGAAGAAGAAGGTTTTATACAGAATGTGTAGCGAGTTGATTAATAATTATCAGATGCATGAATGAAAATTTTCCTCTTGTATATAACAAACTGTACACGTAAGAGTGCAGAGCAGATATGTCAAGAGATATGCCGACAACAAGAATGAGTAAGTGCTATTATTCATGCGCGAACCATTAAGGACAAGTTCTGCTTTACTTGTTAGTCTGTTTTCCACTTTGAGTTCTCGGAAGCGTAAGAGATATTGACACATATATCAAGATCACGCATGTCCAAGTGATCATAGTTAACCAGATTGGAAGCATACTACTTGTGTCAGCCTTACTGCAACGTTTTATCCCTTGTCCGGTCAGATATAATACCTGTTCCAGAGAAACAAAATATGTAGACATTAAAAGTTTTATCAACGATATAAGCATTGGCCCTAGAAGAATTTTTTGCATCTAAAGCTGACATTATATAGTGCAGACTCAATGACTTAAGCAGTATATCTGCCATATGTTTGGCTATATTATTTCAATTTCATGGTAAGCACAGCCTGAGGTTTATTAGTCCATACTATCAACTAACTCATGAAAATCATTGGATAAAGGAGACATTTCAAATAAACCCTGGGAAATGAGTTAAATATTGAACCACACACACAAACACACAGAATGGAATCTTGGATTAGGTATACAGCAGTGTAAACAGTACTGGCGATTACTCACTGAATATGATATTTTTTTCTGTTTACAAAATTTCAATGATATTCATAAATTAATCTTTGGACTTACCATCAATATAGCGAAAACGATGATCAAAGCAGGAAGGATGGTTGAAATTATCTGCAAGAAATAAGATTTAAAGTATTATGCTTCTTTTTTCTTTGGTTAACAAGTATTTACTTCATATTGTATATATCATATGGGTAGTATTACTTTCGCCGGTTTCAAGATTGATCACGAATAGTTTTCATTGAAAACGAGCAAGAAAAGCATGGCGTACTGTACTTCTGTTTTTTCCTTGTTTGCGACTAATCAGCAGTACTTGCTGATGACGTCGAATCTAAAGATTAAACCCAGTGTCCTTAGGCTACAGGTCAACTGCGTATGTCATTGAGTCACTGGGATGGAATCCATTATCTTGTAAATTCTAAACTCCTCCACCTTGTAATGCATAGCGCGACCTTCAGTCAGTTTCATCGGTGAGAACTTATCATCACGTGTAACTCCATTTATTCGGATTGTTCACTTTCACGTTTATTCTTCGATGGACTTCAAAGTATGTGGTATATTTTGATAGGTTCGAAGTCTACAGATGTTTGTTCAGTAACGTCTCCATTTGGCCAGCACCAAATTAGCTTGTGTAGAAAAAGATTACCTGCTAAATTTATGATGAGACTACATGAACACTACTAAGATTTGAGGTATCAAATTGACTAGACAGACATAACATGTGTTGCTCAAAGTATCATGAAAAACGCGAGTTAATTTTAAATTGCTTAAACTAAATACATGGATGAAAAAGGAAGTGTGCTGGTCAAATTTTCATGTGTTTCTGTGTTACTAAGATGGTTCTAAAAATGTCATATGTTTTGAATTCTCCCACATGAATCTTGAATATTGGAAAATGTAATAAGTTGCCAATGAGAGGAAAGAAGTCAGTCAATGCACAATATGGAAGTAATGAAAGGAAGTTGGAGAGATCAGATCATGCATAATTTGTGGACTTTGGACTTTCAATTTGACGTTATTAGGATTCGCTACTGATGTGTACATGTGACGAATGAAAAGTGCGCCTAATAAAGCCTTATTTCATATCGATTAAACCATCACAATATGATTAGTTGCACAGAAGTGATAAATTATCCAAATCACTCAGGATAAGTTATTCCACTAAATACGTTGAAGCTTACCCCATGCACAGTAACTTTCAAAGTAATCAACACGATGATACCCACCAGTGCTAGTCCACCGGCAAGGCTCAGTAATATAATGCTGGATTTCTTACTCAGTTTTTCCATTTTGTACCCGAATATGAGTGCACTCACAGAAACAGCTATCGTCAGAGTCCATGATAAAATATTCCATAACTGCAGGGCTGCTTTTATGCCAGGTATTGCAAAGGACAATAATAAAAGCTGGAAGGTGTTTACATAAGATATAAGTACAAACATTTAATAATATGTTTAATGAGACAGATTCAGATATAAATAAGAACTAAATAAGGAGGTCTATTTTCGTTTATTAAACTGTTCAGAATATGAAAACTTGTGGCCTCTTCCTTTGGAATAAATATGACATAATTAAGTTATCTTTTGAGCCTAATGGGTAAACACGTATGTTTGTTAAACTGTGTAATGAGAATCACTGTACACACATAACTTTTGGAAATAAATGAAGCGTATTAGGGGTTGTAGCCAACACAATATGGTGATCACATAGCATTATTATTCTAGTTGCAATTATTCTCATGCTTGGTTGATAACCTCTGTATGAATACAAGTCACGTTTTGACTGATCCTGTCATTGACCATATTAATACATCAATTATAAGTTCACAGTAATAACAATGTTTGATGTGACAGATTCATAACGATATTTCTATAATGGTGTTTTGCAACCTGATGTTAATTCGTTTATTATGATGCTCCAAATACCATAACCTGTGGTTCCGTATTCTGAAATAACGATAACTGATGAAGCTGAATGTTTATTGAACTTTGAATTCATGAACTATGCTGAGGGTAACTGTACATAATTTAAGTTTGGAAATAAATGAGTCATTTTTCTATATTCTATAAAAACTGTGTATGACAAGTACATTTGTGATCAGAATGTCCGAAATGTGTTGCGCCAATACATTACACGTTTCAGATAAACTACGTCTTCTTATTGTGTTGTCGTTATTCAGGACTAGTGTGAACCTCATCAATTTTTAACGTAAGGCTTATATTATTAGCATGCTTATTTTGATTTTTCTAGTAGAACATACGCCTTCAAGGGGGAATTTCCATTCCGCCCTCTGTTATATAGTCTTATTTAGCTGGCTCTATGATTACCCGCAAGGATTCATTTCCGCCTATAGTGTCATCAGCGTCATCCTCTAATCAATGTTTTGATCACCATGTATCCTACGCGTTTCACTAGTTGACCAGGCGATGATGTCATTCGACGTTTCGCTTCAGCTTGAGTTCTGTATATCTTAATCTCCCTCGTTGTCCGTTTGATTATTTTGTGGATTTCTCTGTTGAATTTACTGTCCAGCTTTCTATATGATTTTCAGTACAAAGGCAGCACATGCAGTTATTGTCAAGGGTCTGTAGTCTGCTGGAAATGCTTTTGGTGATAAAACTAGTCTCTGAATAAAAAATAATTCATGATTTCACATAAGCCCTGAAGAATCGGATGGTGTCCATTATGATGAGTGGGTCAGACTTCCGCACTGATTCCCATATAATCAAGGTATATCATGTTTTTTCCATCCTGTCAAGCTCTACCATTCTAAGTTTTATGGTTCAGAATTTCAACCTGTTTAGGAATGTAGTTGGGACGACGCTCTCCGGACAAGTGGCAAGACTATGATACACCACATTTCCCTGTTTGATGGTGACTGTTGCTTATTCTCCCCATGGATTAAGTATCTTCGTCACTCCCGTTAACTGTGCGTTCATTTTAAGTCTTGGTTACACTGGTGGCCACTTCTGAATTGTTGCTTGCCACTCGTTGACTCATTAATTTATGAGAAATGAGACATAAATTTCCAAAGAGGTCCAGGTCTTCTGGAGTCTTCCTATCTGTTTTGTCGCCTCGTATGGTACATCAGATGTTCCAATCCACGATAATTGAGAACAACATTTGTGAGTTTAGGCAGCTTTGTTTTACCACTGTCTTCGCTTCAAAGATTCTGGTGAACATTCCGTTGTGACTCACTTGACACTGCAATATGGCTTTTAAATGGGTCTGATAAAGGTTTCAGACACTTGGTAGTTTCTTCTACCTAGCCATTTCCGCACAGCGTTTTCACCGTCATCCCTGGATCGTCACTCATTATATTGGTTGAATAAATATTTCTTGACCAAGATAATGAAAAGTTAAGTGATCTGATTCACCCATACTTTCGATCTCATTATTCGCATTATCATATAATGATCACCTCATAAGAAATCAGGAAACATGCTGGTCTGTAGTGAACATGTCAGTGGCATCAGAAGTGAGGTTCGGATTTCATTCTACAAGAATATTCAAAGTAATTATATAACTGTTTTCCAATGTATGATTCAATATATACTACCTTTTTCAGTAAAACCGCCTTTTGTATTCACTAACTGAGATTTCTCTTTATAACGGTACAACTTCGAAATGATCAATGATCAACATTACCGTGAGACAGACGTCAAGTATCTGTGTCAACCGTTTTCTCATGCAGAGAGTTATTATGTGAAGTGGTCAGTGCACAATGTCAAAGAAATACATTCGTAAAATAAATAAAATAAAACTTACCGCAAGTACTACAAGCACATAATTCAAAGGAAATCGTTCTTGAATGTTTTTAGCAAGAAGAAACACTCCCATGGGGATTATACCAAGTACACTGAAGACAAAAATATTGTAACCAGTTAATGAAATGTATTTACAAATCGTATACACCGAACTTCTCATGAGACATTTTTTATTTTTATTTTATTTTGATTATAGCTGGATACTCCACATGATATTTTTGCTACAAGTATGGAATTTTCAGCATGTGATATCGGTAGCCTAAATTTCTCAGACCTACCATTGATATCAAGTGTGTGTCGGCAGGTGATAGGACCGCGGTCCATGTGCATAGTCGGTGAGAGCCCTTACAGCCGTGCCGCCGACGCACAAGTGAACGTGCCTATCCAATACCATGATACAGTTCTAATAAGGGCTGATATCATCTTGGTTGCTAATAATTACCATCCACTGATAATAGTGACATACTGGTTTATTCTTAAACAATAGTCAGAATATGCGGAAAAAAACTACGCTTCAATATACTTACAAAAATGGAATTGGTAGATAGAGTTTTTCACACAGATCTCGAAATGGAGGTCTGTAAGTAAAGCTGTGTAGAGAAGATATTACAACACAAACTTACATGGTCGCTGCACACATTGTAATAATTATAGTCAACAAAACCATTGTGCACGTCAAAATAAGATACTTGTTTTATTTCAGAGTTTATGCTAAATATGGAAACGACTTCACCTACCTTTAGGTAACAGCTTTCTGAAGAAGTAACTCCAAGCTTTTTATTCTATGAAATAAAGGCTATATAACTGTGATGACTTCACAAACCTTTGATGATTCAACCATTTTGACTATTAATGGAAATAAACAAACCGAGTAATTGACAGTTTAAACGTATAAAATGTTTGATTAAAACTGATAACAAATTGGCTTATGTTTTTATTTCACTGTCTGATATCGAATAGAATATACGCTTTACTCCTTATAATTTTAGGGATTTCTAAGTTATGGAAATACTGTCATCAACAATATGTTGCCACTATTTTCGCTATAGATGAAATTTCATCAGGCTAGAAGGACCAACCTTGGAATTACGCATATTCTCCCACTGAATATGCTGAGCAGCAGCATAAAAAGATGATGAAATTTTAATGGGTGAGTAGAGACTTCAATTAGTTTCGTATGTACTCTTTTAGTCCTACTGCGTGTAAAATATTCCCTCCCACTGTTTATAAGAAACGTTTTTATTTCTCACCTTTTGTTGCTTAAGCAATCACGGGTGACAATTAAATTGTCATCTTGTCTCCAGTGGTAATCTAAATCCACCGACTTTAGAGTGATCAGTATTCAGTAGATTCTCGGCTAAACGAGCTGATATTATTTTGTGTATATGTCCCTTCACTAGTTTCTCTTAGACATCTTGCATAATCAAAACGCTTTGAATGCAAAGTGGACTATTTATCACCTTGATAAGTACATTATGAGAGCAAAAGACAGTATCATCTTCCCGAAGCATATTAGTATCACTGAGTCATACGGCTTTGGATATCATTTGATTATCATGGAATCAAAGAATACGTTACATGCCACGGGTATTTATTAAGTGCACGTAAGTATTTGTTTGATGAATATAACACAATGAAAGGTATATATATATTCAATGTACTTGTTTTAATCGAAAGTTCATTTTGATTGCCTAAGTTGCTTTACTAAACATAACATGGCTCTGCTTGTTAGAATGTGGTCTGGCAAGTGGTCATATTATTTATGAACAAGACACACTTAAATGAACGTTTCGTTGCTTCATTAGTACTAACAGCAATACGAATATTCGTTTAATTGAAAACTACTCGAGACATATTTATAAGCAGGGCCATCTACAATATCCTGGTAGACGTACTCATGATATGAACCATTTAACGTTCTAGGTGGAATTTATTTATCCTCAATAGAAACTGGTCAACATATTTAAACTTACATAATTTCATATTGATAAACTGGAATCAACGTTATAAACTGACTCCCTTATATGTTACAGTTATCAGCGGACTTTGGCCAGTCGCTCATATTCTAATATGTAACTCATCGTGGTTCATTTTATCAACCTGTGTGTTATTGGCGGATAATCATTTGTTGTCTACGTGTATTTATGTACAGGCCAAAAATCATAGACACTTTTCAAATGATTGTCTCAACTGTTGTTTTCAGAAATGAATAATGTAAACCTCAGAATCGCAGATTCCAAAAACGTTGTGTTTTACCCAACTATATTATTTTTGTACAATCTCACCCTCCTGCCTATTTGATAACCTCAGTGCAATGGCTGAGCATTTTTTCAGTAGCCAGGGCCAGTCACTTTGGGTATAATTAATATTTTATGTTCCAATAATCTACTTTCCCGATCTACTAGTTAGACCTAAGAAAGTGACCTTATGTGCAGTCATTACGTGGTATTTTGTAAATTATGTTATCTTTTCTAAATGGATATATTGGGTCTTTGGGCCGATGATTTATTTCTGAGAGAGTGGTTTGGATTATATGCCCCCTTATTTTAGCCTCACTAAGAATCCTACATTAGGCATGAGATGTTCCTTCTTTGTACTGTGGTACTACAGCTAATTTCAAAAGCATGTTATTTCCGTCATTGTTGATTTTGTTTTTTCTTTGGAACACATTTGTCTGAAAAATTCATGTTAGGTAATCATCCAATAGTAAAATATTTTTGTCTGATTTCATTAACTGATTCTTCGAGGTTGAATGAAATCTTCGTCTAAAATTCCGATAACATCTTCCCATTTCAAAGTAAGCAGAGAAGTCAAAAGTCCTAAGAAGTGAATTTCAAGAAGGAAAACACCATATTATATATTTTACCCACATTTATTTTCGGTCAGGTCAGGTGTAATGAACAGTTCCTATTGGTTGTTGATTTTCTGATTTTTAAACTTCGGGACGAAAAGTTGTCCAATGAGAATATATGCTGACCACAAGGTATATTATATCAAAATTGGAGGAATAAACGCCGCACTTCTATGGATAGCTGTTGCATCAAAATGTTTTTTTCTCCGCCTCCCATCATTCTGCGAAAGAGGCAACAGTCAGTTTCTAGGTCATAATGAGTTCCTGCTTATCTTATCCTGCTAATCATCTTATACTACTGAATAGTTTTGTCAGTAGCCACTTCAAAACATAAAAAGTAGAAATAATTGCGAATTAACATCATTATTTCCTACTTCCTAATGTATTTCGTTCATTTCGTAATGTAATAGTATTCAATTTCAAGTGTTTTATTTTTCTGCTGAAAGTTGACGCAAATATTTATCTGTAGAATCTCAAATCAAAGTTCCGAAGAATGAGAGGGATTTATTGGAAATGAATATTTCTTCCTATATCACTCGTATAAATACTAGTATTATGCCACATTTTACTCACATTTGAGTGATCCACATTCTTCACTTTGCCGCTTATATACTTGTACTGTCATTTACGGAAATAACAATTGAATCGGAACTCATCAGACTCCCTCCGGTCAAGGACATTCATTATTTCACTATTTCGTAGCGCTTAAAACAGAAGCCTTGAGGTTTTGCGGATGCATGAATCTCCATCAGGATCTCCCATTTGGAAGACATATCAGTAGATGAATTTTTTTACACTGAAACAAAATTCTTGAATCGTTGAAATCTCTTGGGCTGCAAAATCACCCATTCAATATAGTTTTCACCTATTCTGCCAGCCCGCTGAACCCAAAAGTCATTGCACAATTGACAGGTTACTATGTACAACATAGCGGAGGAAATGTTTTAAGACTGTATCTTTATTCATCGTAACAAATGGGGAGGCATGTAGAATCTATCTTTAGGCAGCCATCCGTGATACGTGGAATTATAGCTGCCCAGTTTTCCATAGGGAAGAAAAATGAAAGTTATTTTTTGTGAAAATGTGTGAAGAATAATTCAATCTTTCTGTTTTCTAAATGCCAAAATGGGGATTTTTTCTTTATTGAATTCAATTTTTGTAGAACGAGTTTGTGACAGCAAGTAGCAGCATTCGAATCCGTCAGCGACCAAATACGAACAAGAACACTACTGAATATGTCACTTGTGTTTCCCCCCGCGTTCGACAATGGTTTTACTTGTTTTGCTTATTACTTTAAATGGTTCGTTGAAGTAGTACGAAAACATGAGTGCAATTCCCTAGTTTTTGAGGCATGTTTGCTTGGTTGAGCTGATATCGCGGGGATGATATTTTAACAGGCCCATATGCTATCTACGTTGTTGTACAAAAGTAGTTTCGTCGGTCGGGACTTCTAAAGCTAGGGTGAAATATTCTCCAGGCAGTCGTAAAGTCGTTCCATAAACTAATTCTGCTGGACAACATTCGATCTCTTGCTTTATTGTCGAACGTATTCCAAGAAGTACAAGAGGTAATTTATCGCTCCACTTATCATCATCCTTCACTGCTATCAATGATGCTTTCAGTTGACGATGAAACATCTCCACTAAGCTGTTTGAACTAGGATGATAAGCAGTAGTACTTGTGCGCTTGATTCCTAGCAGTTCTGTGAGATTTGAAATAAATGGCTTTCGAATTCAGCACAGTTTCGTTCTAATCGTCACATCTAATTCTGAAGATGCATTTTAAGTCAGACTTCATACAGTCTTTTGAAGATACCCTTTAAAATTAACCGAATGCTAAACTGAATCTGACTTTATCACTATATCCTGGTAGTTTGGAGATGAAACCGTTCATTATGTTGTTTCATGTCATTCTACTTAAAACTAATAGCGTTGAACAGCACGCAAAACATTATCTCATAAATTTAAGTTATCATCAATCATTTTTTTATTTTTCTCATTCAGGTGTTCTATGAACTAACTAATTTTCATGAAATCACACCTCATGGTTCAAAGTTAAATATTTACCAATAATAATTTAAGGTATTATTCAGTATTCATTTAATAACCCGATTATGCTAAAAGATAAGGAAACATTGACGTCAAGTGAACACCTTATTATCAAATAGCATACACTTCACCACGAATGTACAAAACTATGAATCAAAGTTTCAAGAATTGGGTGAATATATTTACAAATTAGTTGAGCATTACTTTAATTCAATTCTTTAACGTTTAGCTTGAAATGGCTAGTTTATTGCAGGTAAGAAATTAAATTTTCATCATTTTGTCGTTACTATCATTTTGTTGTTATCCGCAAACTTATGCCTTCGAATTTCATGATTTCATGATTTATGAGGTTGATCACTTGATATCAACCTTAAGCATTAACTAGTTGTTCAGATAAATCCTACTCCGAAGAAATATTTGTTCATGGTCGTCTTTCCAATTTACTCTTTGTATTTTTTCGTCGAATTTCTCAGCAGTCAGTTGGAGTCCCAACATCCTGCACTCTTCAATACAAATTGTAATGTTGGCGTCAAGATTATATATATATATATATATGTACATATATATTCTGCTATAAATGACTTCAGTGGTCTGTAATGAAAGCTTCGCTGTGGTAAACAGAACTGTTCAACTCTCACAATTAGGGTTGTTATGTCTTCATATGTATACCGATGACCATTTAAGGCTGGCAAACTATATCTTAATCGCCATTAAGATGTTAACAGAGTGGAGATGAAACTGTTTATTATTGTACTTCATATTAATCTGGTAGAAACC